GTGAGAGTATTTCACAGGTGTTTTTTTTCTATATGTTATTTTTATATATATATATATATATATATATATATATATATATATATATATATATATATATATATATATATATATATATATATATATTTAAATTGTTTTTGGTGAGGAAAAAGGCAATACGGTCTATTACGCAATCATAGGATTGGTCGCTTGCATCATTCTTCAAACCATGGTGTAAACTTGGGATTAAAAGATGATACAATGAATTTTAAGGAAATAAAGTATTCTTAGTGAACGTATATTGTTTTTCTAACATTGATATTATTGGGTTGTGTTTTGATTACCTCCTCTTAACTTACGGGAACTGAGTTAAGAAATATCAAAAATTAATTCAGAACTACTGAGAAGTGGAAAAATTGGGAGATCTCTAATGTGAAGGTTACTCTATTTTATAAAATGTTGATGTTGCCCTTATAAGGAAACCACGCAACGTCCACGTTTAAAGCTGTGTTCAATAGGCGCACAAAATAAAACTCCCATCATTTGAAATAAATAACAAATGCTTTAAATATATATATATATATTTATGTCTGATCATCAGTGGCTCCTTATGCTGATGTTAGTGTTTTGGTCTGTTAAGACAATCGCTTAGGGTGATTTTTTTTAACAAAAAAAGTTTTTATTAAAATTCATTAAACTCCTTTTTGCTGACTGTTATCAAATCCTTTGAATGATGTCTTCAGCCTCGACACGTAATTCAAAAAAGAAAAAAAAGAAAAAGAAAGAAATCTCAGCTCTCTTTATAACTTTATTTCTAAAAAATTATTTTAAAAAAACCAAAAAAAAAAAACTTATTAGCTTTTCATTGCCTCAAATTTGAACAACATTTTTAAGAAAAAAAGTTTTTATTAAAATTCATTAAACTCCTTTTTGCGGACTGTTATCAAATCCTTTGAATGATGTCTTCAGCCTCGACACGTAATTCAAAAAAGAAAAAAAAGAAAAAGATAGAAATCTCAGCTCTCTTTATAACTTTATTTCTAAAAAATTATTTTAAAAAAACCAAAAAAAAAAAACCTATTAGCTTTTCAGTGCCTCCAACTTGAACAACCGCTGCCGTGACATTTTTGCGATAGGAACAATCATAATATTAATCTTAGCGAGTGCATACTGAGTTTGAGACAAGTGAAACATGAAAAAAACATGACACTCATTTTAAAGTACTTTTATATATGTAGTTTAAATGACATTATCTGTAATCGGAGAAATTCTGATAACTAAAAAAAATGAAAGAAGTATCTTGTAACCAAAGAGACAATCTGAGTATCGTAGAATGGATAAGCCGATGTTATGATTTATTAAATGTAGTTGAAAAGCAGTAATTATTTTGACAACCCTTTAAAAAAGTCATTATAAAAATGTGGAGAATTATCTTTAGATTTTGAACTGTTAATGACATTCAGACCATTTGCAAGGGTTTCTAATTCTGTCATCCAGTATTTCTCCCGCTCTTCAAGAAATAAATCCTTGGTTTTTTTAATCCATTTTTCATTTTCACTTCTCAAGAAAGTTTCTACGTCACCATTTTCAGCGTTCAAATGTTCCAATTTCCTATCCAACTCTTTGTTCATGGTGTCATTTTGTGAACAGAGTTTTAATTGTTCCCACGCTTTGATTAGTTCCATCTCTTTGATTGGTTCTATCGCTTTGATTCGTTCTATTATTTTCTCAATAGAGTAGTTCTGCCATACAATTTCTAACAAGTCTTCATTCGGTGAGTTCACATCGCAATTCATCATTTCCCATATATTTTTCTGGACGTCAAGTTCACATCTGTTAAAGACGTATTTCCACTTGTCTAGCAGGTAGATCTGATCGTCACTCAGTGCATCCATCACTGTCCACCGGTAGTCCCTAACAGTGCACTCGTGTTCACCGTCGAAATGGTGCTTGACTAAATCTGTACATTTAGAAGATAAAACTTTTCTATATCTATCAAGAAATGATTTGTCAGATTTGCCCACGTATTTTATGTTACAATTATAGCATATGATCAAATATACAATAATTTCAGATTTGTAAGAAAATTTGCGGGCTCTCGTACCAAGCCCTTTAATGTTACAATTGGGGATATGATGGTAACACCTATACAGTTCCCAGTTGTCCGATTCAGGAATGGGCGTACTAGAATACTTTATTTCCTCTTGTGCATAATGTTCGTCATATTTTTTCACTATTAAATATTTTTTGTTTGTTTGTAAATACGTATCCCACTCTGATAATTTATTGTTGACATCATCTGACAATGTATCTTTTTGAATTGAAGAGAAATGACAAACCTCTTGATTCTTTAATATTCCTATTAACATCTGGTCATTATTTTGATCTCGTATACAAGATATTATCTTATTTTGAATATTTTTAGCTTTAGAAGATTTTTGTTTAATAGTTTTAGCTTTAGAAGATTTTTGTTTAATAGTTTTAGCTTTAGAAGATTTTTGTTTAATAGTTTTAGCTTCAAAAAATGTTTCTTGATTATTTTTATCTCCAGCAGATTTTTCTTGAATATTTCTATTTTCTATTTGTTGATCTATCATCATGCATCTGACATATTTTTTCTCATGACTTTTGCCACGTTCACATTTTTCGTCCCTGTGAAATCCAAAACTGAGATCTGCAAAGAATTCAAGCTTTTCACTTGTGAAACCAAGTAAAACTTCGTCACAATTAATACAATACAGCAAAAACACTACATTGACTGCCTCACAAGCTGTAGTCGCTGCTTGAGGACTTTCGTCTTTGGTCATAGCTTGGGTCGTATCTGGGGCCTTAACAGAGGTCGTACCCGTGTTCTTCACTGGGGTCGCATTAGGGGTGTAATATATCGTCGTATCTGGGGTCGTAGGTGGATCATCGTATTTCTCCTCCAGCATCATCTCAACATGATATTTACAGAAAGTGCAATCCGTGCAACCACACACACTTAGCTTTCTTAACTGTAAAACAAACAAAAGTAAAGGAAAAAAGGGCACGATCACAATTTTGATTTGATAACAGTCGTAACAGAAATCTATGAAAAGACGTCGCAACCAATCAGAAGACAATAATTATACCGAAACTTTGAAAAATACGCGAGTACATCTCCTAAAAATATGTCAGCGTCAAATTGCTCTCAATCTATGAATCAAATATTTAACAAATGGCGCCAAAAAGATCATTTGAATTCCTTTTGGATCGATTTAATTTGCGTTGTATTACTTCAATTTAATATAAGTCAAATAATGAAAGGGAAACAACTGAGTCCTCGGGGCAAGAAATAAAATACAATAACTAGAACAGTTCCACGTTTCCCGTTAACAATAAGAAAGTGGCGTAACAGACAAATTACAGATATATATATATATATATATATATATATATATATATATATATATATATATATATATGAAAAGGCTTTCTCTCATATATATCCTACAATTATATACACAGAAAGATATAATAAATATATCAGAAAATGCTTCCTTTCATAGATATCCTTCAAATTTATGCACAGGAAGATATATTATTAAACTGCACATATTTCGCAATCCTTAATCTATTAAATTTTGTTGCAACAAATGTATAAACATGTCGGCCAAGGCCTTTCGGATACAGTTATGATCAAAGTGGAACGTCTGATTTAACATTTTCTAAGGTATATACCTTTCAAGGGCGTGTGAAATGGCCTTTATTTTTTTTAGGTTACAAATACGTAAAAAAACACTATTAAGTAGCACACGTTAAAATTAGTTTTTTAGATGATGGATCCTGGATTTAGCTGTGTTAAATGTTTACAGTTAAAATAGGACCGGAAGATACACACGCGAGTTTTCGCAATTGCGGGTAAATATTAACGCATTAAACTTTCTCTAACACCGTTTCATCTACGTATGTTGTTTAACAAGGAGAGTGTTTCTTAAATGGCTTAAGACGCGAGTAACAGACTTATTTCAATTTGTTTGTCCTGGTTGCTGTATTTTTTTATTTTTTTGCAGCATATTCTTACCTTTTATTTAACACGCTAGTTTACTTTTAAGATAATATTACCTTATAATTCAATTAATGTTACCAAAATATATTTTAAATATATTCGTTTGTAGTTAACATATATATTACCTTGTTTGCACGTTGATGGACAGCAACCATAACCCTCCTGATGCATGGGTCTGAGAATATATAAAGTAATAATACTCAACCAAAGTGGGTAACACAGATAGATTAAAATTATTGCGGAACAAAACTCAATTTTTTATTTAAAAAATCCGTTTTAAGTTATTTTACACATTTTTATTCAAATTAATGTTGAACTTAAATTTTTAATTGCTAAACCTTTATCAAAGGTAAATCGTTTTATGCAATCAAAGACAATTATACTGCTCATGATTATTCAACAAATATGTTCAACATTACAGAGTTAGCAATATGTCCATATATATAAACGCCGTGAGTTGTGTGTCTGTCATAAACATAGTGATTTTTAGTGAGCGTATTTGGTGTAGAGATTAATTGTGTTGATGTTGCTATTCAGTTTGAATTTGTGACGTTTTTGGCAATGAGAAATCTCTGTATAGGGATTTGCTAGTGAGTGTATTTGGGGTTGAGATTAACTGTGTAGCTCTTGCTTTGTAGTTTTTATAGGTGACGTCTTTAGATATGGGATGCTCCTATTGGAACAGGTTTGAAATGTTAAAAGCGAATCGAGAAAACCAAACGCCAGTAGAATATTTCACGACATTCTGGTTCATATATATTAGGATTATAAATGTACACGACATTGCAATCAAAGGTTTAAAAGTCCATACTTTTCCTAATATAGGGGAAACGCTTCAACAGTTCTTCAAATTGTAACTTCAATTTCAATTCTTCGAATGGCTCCTTCAAGACTTTCTCATCTTCGATTTTTGCTTTAATTTTCGGTGTTGCGACCGTTTCAAATCTTTCACTGTTTAACGCTTCTGCCATAGTTTACGTTGATTATTGTATTCTCAAATAGTTCTGTCTCCTTTAATTTGAACTGTGAATATTTTTAAAAAAAATTATTATATACATTAACCAATTAAAACGCAAATACCCAACATTAATTTGATAATGAAAACATTCCTATGAAAAAAAAAAAAAAACACCAGATAGATACCAATTGAAAGTAAGAGCTGTGCCTCGACGATATGTTTAATGAAGTCATTTTAACTGGTTTTAATGCTAAAAGGAGGAAGGCATTTGCCGTTTCACTTGCATGTGTTAAAACTGGTCTGATTACAGATTAATAAATAGTTTTCTTGGTTTTTCTTGTAATGTTTTTTTTTTACTTTTGAGTATTTTCTGACCACCGAAGTGTGCCATGTTCCCGGCTGATGTTCTATACTTTATTTCTGTTAGAAATTCGTTTCTTTCATTTAATGACGATCCTAGGTATTTGAATTGATTTACTTTTTCAAACGTGGGGTTTCTAATTTTCATGGCTTCATCTGTCTGTTTGTTCTTCGCTTATCATAGCCATGTATTCTTATTTGGTTGTTTACTCTCAGCCCGGCTTGTAGTTAAGCGTTTTATATTCAATAAACCCTTTTGCTATGTCTTTACTACTCTTCCCTAACAGTGCTATGAAATCAGCACATTTAAGATACTGAAGCGAAGATTGTAAAGTGTGCCTATTTGGTTGTGGGTCTTGGGTCTCCATTAGAAAATATCCTGCTATTGTTCCTCGGGTGTCACTCTATATGTTTATTTGAAACTCTCTAAAATGTTAGGTTAAATAGCATACAGGAACGTGAGTCTCCTTATCTTAGACTTCGTCTAATCAGAAATTCCCCTTCTTTGAATAGTTTTCTTATAGCTTATTAAAATATGGGACACCTTTTAGAGTTAAATGATAATATTTTAGGGACTGGCCGAGTGGTCTAAATTGAGCAAATATCAAGTCTTAGTTGATCGTCTGGAGTTCAAATCCCACCAAAGCCCTGTCAAGCAAAAACATCACCAGTACCCCGGGTAGATGTGACTCGTTAACCTTGGATGGCAACTTGGAAACCCGTCTAAAGTAGTGTTCCTTAAAAACATGTCTAAAGTAGTGTTCCTTAGAAACATGTCTAAACTAGGGTTCCTTAGAAACATGTGTAAACTAGTGTTTCATAGAAACATGTGTAAAAAAGGATTCTATTTCCTGGGAATACAGATGAACTGCGTCCTTAATTAATTACATTTAAAATATGAATAAACTGGATTAAATGATTAAAATAGTTCATTTAAGGAACTGGTTCTATGTATAAAATGTTATCCAATGAAAAAAAGGTATGCCGACGGGTTGGTTACTTACGTCACTTCTCCCTACTTAGCCCTAGTAATAGACAACTAGATTGTATGCTTACTAAGCAAAACGCAACATGGTCAAATGTAGACGAAAAATCTGTACACTTTATTTGAGCTTTCCATTCTTCACCAGACGCAAATTTTGGTTTCGAATCCGACACCAAATATTTGCAAATGCTAACCGAGGTTTCCTTTCGGATTAAGAAAAAAAAAATAATTAAATTGTTAAAACATGCATATCATTTGTTTAAGATCTTACTAGTTTGATTTAGTAAGATTAAAAAAAAATATATTAAAAAAAATAATATAAAGTAAGGTAGTCCAGTTCAACACACTGAGGTGACACTGTACTGTTCCCATTTCTTATGCTTCACTTCTAGACTGGTGCTAGACGAGAGTAAATTAACGTGGCGTTCTAACCCCCCAAAAAATGTACGGTTATCAGATGCTTTACGGTTTCAGATTTACTGTTCATTTCAGTTGAAAGCTTTTAGTAATGGATTACACACAGGCACCAAGAGTAAAATAAAAGTTAACCAAAACTCCCAAATGACGAAGCATCCGACACGTATTCAATTATGGCAGGTAATAAAGGTAATTCCCATAACTATAAATAAACCACCTAAAAAAATTTTTTTTTAATAAATATATATATATATATATATATACAGTTTCATTTTCATCACGAATCTGAAGCAGAGGAGAAAAAAAAGGAAGAAAATATGAATCGGTTTGTGAATTCTATTTCTGATAATAAGCCTAAAACTGGTTAGGATACTTTAATAAATACATGAAATTGTAACAAGACTAACAACTTATTAGTTGGGATAAGACTGCCCACACTTTGTGGGTATTTCAGTTCTTATTTTAAGACACCGTTTGTGCCAGTGACCTAGTTTAGGCCAAGATCAGTGGCTCTCAACCTTGTTGGGGGTACTGAACCCCACCAGTTCCATATGCGCATTCACCGAACCCTTCTTAATAGGAAAAACAAAATATTATTTTTGTCTGATTTTTTTTTTGGACCTCCGCCGAACCCCTGAGACTGACTGACCGAACCCCTGGGGTTCGATCGAAGCCAGGTTAAGAACCACTGGCCTACATGGTTTCTTTATTATCACAATCCCTACCTGAGTATTCTGGGGTCTTTTAACACCAGTACCTACTTTTATGCTTAACAGTCGAGCCGGTTAGACCGGTATGGTTCCCAGTTGTTGGTATCAGAATTATGTTTGGTATACAATGACATTGTTTGATGTGCGTACGCGAACATTATATTTATAAAGTATGTTCCAGTGCTAATAGTGTAGATCTAAACTTTTATTTAAATTTGACATAGCTTTCCTTTGAAATGAGGCTCCAGCCAAATATTCCCCCAACCTATAAAACCTCCCCCACCTTCTTTATGACTTTATGATAAGGGATAAGTACACTGAAACCTGGAAATAACGCAAACACATGGGGGGACTAGGGCCAAAGTGTGCGCTATTTGTAAAGACGGTACCTTTGTCAGGTTCAGTCAGAGTGATGATAAAGCACAATAAATCGATCAGTGACAATAGCACTTCCTTGATATCAGGATGTGCGGATATTTTAATATATTATTTTATAGCAGGCATAGTAGCAAATTAATCAATTTCAATTACAGTGACTGTTTCAATTTGTAATAGTTTTTAAATTAATTTTGTTCTAGCATTCAGTTTAGATTGATATGACTGTTACGTACCGTAAATCGTTTGACAAATTTAATATCTTTTTAAGTTTTGACTCTTAGAATGAACAATAAGTTACAAAGGACTTAAAACCAACATACAACGTCAACCAACGCTACCAAAGCTAATGATACCAACACTGTTTAGTTTAAGTATGTTATTAAATTTCGATAAAAAGTGAAAATTGAAATATATAGACACAGCAAAGAAAAAAAAAGCTGTCAAACTCCAGGACAGCAAGTTACAATCCTTGAAGAATATCAAGACCAATTTACTTATACACCCACGAAAAGAGTGCAGTGCAATGTTACTATTATATGACGTCTCGTCCATGTCTAGGAAATGTAGGCAAAATGTCTGCCGGCCGGAAGAGCTGCCGGTCAAAAGGCAAGGATTAAATCAGCAACACTAGAAAAAAAAGAAATTTCTGGAAACTACGTCATCTGACGCCTTCTTTATTAATAATCGGACGCAACTGTATATTCTGAAATGGACACTGTTTAAAGGTTGACTCTACACTATATAATACGTGTATCAGTAGCACTTCTTTTATCCTAAAGCCAATTTTCAACAAACATATATATATATATATATATATATATAAACTCAAATAAGTTGCATCAAAAATGGGACGCAATTGCGTATTCTTAAAATTCATTGAAGTACGAAAGGTTGTCTAACTTGTTAAATTGTTCTTTGGATGCAATCAATATTCCGTTCTCTAGTGTTATATTTCTTGTTGCATGTTGAATTGTCCAAGAAATTTGAAGACGGGGTCGATGTTGTTTGGCTAGGGAAAAGTTAATCAATCTAATTTAAGCACAGGACAACGCTGTATACGAAATGGCTTTACACGAAATGCTAAGACTCAACCGTGTTGGGAACGTTACTAAATCTACATTCGTGTACCTTTCTAGACTCATATAGTTCTTTCTAAGAAACATAAACTCATAAAGGTCTTTCTAAATAATATAAACTCATCGAGTTCTTTCTAAGTAGTATAAACTCATATACGCCTTTCTAATAAATATAAACGCATTTAGGTATCTCTAAGCAAAATAAACACATAAAGGTCTTTCTCAGGCATATAAACTCATACAGGTCTTTCTAAGAAATACTATTTTTATTCAACTTATCTAATGGGGTTAATATTGGTAAAACAAACATATTTTTGACAGTACTATGTCAGATATGCATATTATATTAAAACATTGATCGTTTGTAAGATATTGTTAACATAAACTATAGAGTAGCTAGAGACGTACCGGGACATACAGTGTCCACGGCAAGACATACAAGTGTGCCCGTAACCATCTAGAGCAGTTGTTCTCAACCTGTGGGTCGCGACTCCAAAAGGGGTCGAACGTCCCTCTTCCAGAGGTCCTCAAAGACCAAAGTAAAACCCATGCACTCTACAGTTTTAAAATATCAACGAAAATAATTTGGCTATTGGGGGTCGCCACAACATGAGGCATGTACATTAAATACACAGAGGTAATTAAAACTTTCAAATATGACAACGACAAGGTCAAAAATAATGTTGGCTAAAATATGGCAGCCACAAACTGTTCAGAAATTAGAATTATGAGATGGAAATAACATTAGGATACCACCTGAATCTTTTATAACGATGAGGAAGTAACACATGATATCATTTAAATGTCAAATGATTATGTTTCTGGAGGATAAGTCAAAACGCGTCATCCTACACATGGGTGCCAAGCACAGTGCAGCCAACCTTTTAAAAGGCTTCTATGGATTGGACATGCCTATTTGGAAATTAGAATTAGATTGTGTAGGGATTGTATTATATCATTACCATGCGATCAGCTCAGATAAAACCAAAACAATTTATAACATTTTTTTTCAAAAATCTTATTTTTCTGCATGAACAAATTGTAAATAACAACATAAATTGAGGGAGTATAACTATCGTTTTTCTAAGAAGCGCTTTTCCATTGATACTCCTTAGATAATAATAATAATAATAAAGTTCATAAATCTTATTTTTCTGCATGAACAAATTGTAAATAACAACATAAATTGAGGGAGTATAACTATCGTTTTTCTAAGAAGCGCTTTTCCATTGATACTCCTTAGATAATAATAATAATAATAAAGTTCATTTCAAAAACACGCTTCATCCCCAAAGGCTCGAAGCGCGGTACAAAGTCAACAAAAAACAAATCTACAATTTACCACATTTAAAACAAACGCAACACTACAAAACTAATTACAAGCATACAATGGCAAAGTCTTTCTAGCCATTATGACACATTTTTTTGGTGTAATATAACACTAGTGGTTAAATCCTATTGGTTTGAAAATTTCATTGACAAAAATAACCCCTTCCTTAAAGTACAAAAAAAGAATATTTAAATAACAAGAACATTAATAAATAATTATAAATGCCATGCATGCAGTTGTACATTATTGAGTATACAAAGAAAGTATGTGTCGTTAGGTTCAGCTGACACTGTAAACAAATCTTATACACACTTATCAGTTATAAATTATTTTAAAAAAAAATAAAATGCACAATATCATCAATGACAAGCTGGAGGTCCTTTAAATACGTGATTATCACAAATAAAATCTCTGGTAATACGGACAATATATACATGGGCGCCCGTAGGTAGTGGCAAGGTGGGGCACTCCCCCCCCCCTGGATTGATTGGATAAAAAAATTTAGACAAAAATAGACAAAAAATGTATTAAAGTAAAGAGAAAATAAAGATAAAGTAACTAAGCTGATGTCCTGTCCGTTCGTTTACCAAACAAATACGCTACAGTAAATTAAAACTGTATTAAAACATTACTAAAATTTTTTTTCCCCCCCCTGGAAAGTTAATCAATTTTTTTTGCCCCCCCCCCCCCAAGAAAGTTTTCTGTGGGCGCCCATCGCAATCGTAGGATTGGTCGCTTGCATCATTCTTCAAACCATGGTGTAAACATGGGATTAAAAGATGATACAATGAATTTTAAGGAAATACATTATTCTTATTGAAAGTATAATTTTTTTTTAACATAAATATTATTGGGTTGTATTTTGATTACCTCTTCTTAACTTACGGGAAACTGAGTTAAGAAATATCAAAAATGAATTAAGAACTACTAAGAAGTGGAAAAAGTGGGAGATCTCTAAGAGAAGGTTACTCTATTTTATAAAATTTTGATGTAGCCCTTATAAGGAAACCACCCAACGTCCACGTTTAAAGCTGTGTTCAATAGACGCACAAAATAAAACTCCCATCATTTGAAATAGATCTCTAAGAGAAGGTTACTCTATTTTATAAAATTTTGATGTAGCCCTTATAAGGAAACCACCCAACGTCCACGTTTAAAGCTGTGTTCAATAGACGCACAAAATAAAACTCCCATCATTTGAAATAAACAACAAATGCTTTAAATATATATCTATTTATGCCTGATCATCTGTGGCTCATTATGCTGATGTTAGTGATTTGGTCTGTTAAGACAATCGCTTAAGGGGATTTTTGTTAACAAAAAAAGTTTTTATTAAAATTCATAAAACGTCCTTTTTGCTGACTATGGTCACATCCTTTGAATGATGTCGTTGACTATGATCACATCCTTTGAATGATGTCGTTGACTATGATCAAATCCTTTGAATGATGTCGTCAGCCTCGACACGTATTTAAAGTCAAAAAGAAAATAGAAAAAGAAAAAGAAACCTCAGCTTTCTTTTATAACTTTATTTTTTTTTTATTATTTTTTTTTAAATAGCTTTTCAGTGCTTCCAACCTGAACAACCGCTGCCGTGACATTTATGCGATAGGAACAATCATAATATTAATCTTAGTGAGTGCATACTGAGTTTGAGACAAGTGAAACATGAAAAACATGACACTCATTTTTAGAGTACTTTTATATATGTAGTTTAAATGACATTATCTGTAATCGGAATTTCTACGTCATTATTTGGCAAACTTTTAAAAAACTCAATATAAAAATGTGGACAAGTATCCTTACATTTTGAACTGTTAATGACATTCAGACCATTTTCACGGGTTTGTAATTCTGTCATCCAGTATTCCCCCCACTCTTCAAGATATAAAGCCTTGGTTTTTTCAATCCATTTTTCATTTTCATTTCTCAAGAAAGTTTCTACGTCATCATTTGAAGAATTCGAATGTTCCAATTTCCTATCCAACTCGTTCATGGTGTCATTTTGTGAAGAGGGTATTAATAGTTCCATCGCTTTGATTAGTTCCATCTCTTTGATTGGTTCTATCTCTTTGATTCGTTCTATTATTTCCCCAATAGAGTTTTTCTGCCACACAATTTCTAACAAGTCTTTATTCACTGAGTTAACATCGCAATTCATCTGTTCCCATATTTTTTTCTGGACATCAAGTTCACATCTGTTAAAGACGTATCTCCACTTGTCTAGCAGATAGATCTGATCGTCACTCAGTGCATCCATCACTGTCCACCGGTAGTCCCTAAAAGTGCACTCGTGTTCACCGTCGAAATGTTGCTCGACTGAAGTTGTGCATTCAGAAGATAAAGCTTTTCTATATCTAACAAGGATCGATTTGTCAGTTTTTCCCACGTATTTTATGTTACAATTATAGCATATCTTCAAATACACGATAGTTTCAGATTTGTAAGAAAATGTGCGGGCTCTCGTACCAAGCCCTTTTATGTTAGAAATTGGGATGTGATGGTAACACCTATACAGTCCCCAGTTGTCCAATTCAGGAATGGGCGTACTAGAATACTTTTCTTCCTCTTCTTTATAACTTTCGTTATATTTTTTCACTATTAAATATTTTTTGTTTGTTTGTAAATACGTATCCCAAACTGATAATGTATTGTTGACATCATCTGACAATGTATCTTTTTGAATTGAAGAGAAATGACAAACCTCTCGATTCTTTAATATTCCTATTAACACCTGGTCATTATTTTGATTTTGTATACAAGATAGTATCTCATTTCGTTTAGTTTCATCTTCAGAAGATTTGTTTGGATTATTTTCATCTTCAGAAGATTTGTTTGGATTATTTTCATCTTCAGATGATTTGTTTGGATTATTTTCATCTTCAGAAGATTTGTTTGGATTATTTTCATCTTCAGAAGATTTGTTTGGATTATTTTCATCTTCAGAAGATTTGTTTGGATTATTTTCATCTTCAGAAGATTTGTTTGGATTATTTTCATCTTCAGAAGATTTGTTTGGATTATTTTCATCTTCAGAAGATTTTTCTTGATTAGTTTCATCTATCATCATGCACCTGACATATTTTTTCTCATGACTTTTGCCACGTTCACATTTTTCGTCCCTGTGAAATCCAAAACTGAGATCTGCAAAGAATTCAAGCTTTTCACTTGTGAAACCAAGTAAAACTTCGTCACAATTAATACAATACAGCAAAAACACTACATTGACTGCCTCACAAGCTGTAGTCGCTGCTTGAGGACTTTCGTCTTTGGTCATAGCTTGGGTCGTATCTGGGGCCTTAACAGAGGTCGTACCCGTGTTCTTCACTGGGGTCGCATTAGGGGTGTAATATATCGTCGTATCTGGGGTCGTAGGTGGATCATCGTATTTCTCCTCCAGCATCATCTCAACATGATATTTACAGAAAGTGCAATCCGTGCAACCACACACACTTAGCTTTGTTAACTGTAAAAAAAAAAAAAAGTAAAGGAAAAAAGGGCACGATCACAATTTTTTTTTTGATAACAGTCGTAACAGAAATCTATGAAAAGACGTCGCAACCAATCAGAAGACAATAATTATACCGAAACTTTGAAAAATACGTGAGTACATCTCCTAAAATATGTCAGCGTCAAATTCCTCTCAATATATGAATCAAATATTTAACAAATGGAGTCAAAAAGATCATTTGAATTCCTTTTGGATCGATTTAATTTGCGTTGTATTACTTCAATTTAATATAAGTCTAATAATGAAAGGGAAACAACTGAGTCCTCGGGGCAAGAAATAAAATACAATAACTAGAACAGTTCCACGTTTCCCGTTAACAATAAGAAAGTGGCGTAACAGTCAAATTACAGATATATATATATAAATATATCAGAAAATGCTTCCTTTCATAGATATCCTTCAAATTTATGCACAGGAAGATATATTATTAAACTGCACATATTTCGCAATCCTTAATCTATTAAATTTTGTTGCAACAAATGTATAAACATGTCGGCCAAGGCCTTTCGGATACAGTTATGATCAAAGTGGAACGTCTGATTTAACATTTTCTAAGGTATATACCTTTCAAGGGCGTGTGAAATGGCCTTTATTTTTTTTAGGTTACAAATACGTAAAAAACACTATTAAGTAGCACACGTTAAAATGAGTTTTTTAGATGATGGATCCTGGATTTAGCTGTGTTAAATGTTTACAGTTAAAATAGGACCGGAAGATACACACGCGAGTTTTCGCAAATGCGGGTAAATATTAACGCATTAAACTTTCTCTAACACCGTTTCATCTACGTATGTTGTTTAACAAGGAGAGTGTTTCTTAAATGGCTTAAGACGCGAGTAACAGTCTTATTTCAATTTGTTTGTCGTTGTTGCTGTTTATTTTATTTATTTTTTTTTTTTGCAGCATATTCTTACCCTTTATTTAACACGCTAGTTTACTTTTAAGAAAATATTACCTTATAATTCAAATAATGTTACAAAAAATATATTTTAAATATATTCGTTTGTAGTTAACATATATATTACCTTGTATTGAAGTTCATGGACAGCAACCATAATCCTCCTGATACATGGGTCTGAGAATATATAAAGTAATAATACTCAACCAAAGTGGGTAACACAGATTAAAATTATTGTGGAACAAAACTCAATTTTTTATTAAAAAATCCGTTTTAAGTTATTTTACACATTTTTATTCAAATTAATGTTGAACTTAAATTTTTAATTGCTAAACCTTTATCAAAGGTAAATCGTTTTATGCAATCAAAGACAATTATACTGCTCATGATTATTCAACAAATATGTTCAACATTACAGAGTTAGCAATATGTCCATATATATAAACGCCGTGAGTTGTGTGTCTGTCATAAACATAGTGATTTTTAGTGAGCGTATTGGGTGTAGAGATTAATTGTGTTGATGCTGCTATTCAGTTTGAATTTGTGACGTTTTTGGCAATGAGAAATCTCTGTATAGGGATTTGCTAGTGAGTGTATTTAGGGTTGAGATTAAATGTGTAGCTCTTGCTTTGTAGTTTTTATAGGTGACGTCTTTAGATATGGGATGCTCCTATTGGAACAGGTTTGAAATGTTAAAGGCGAATCGGGAAAACCGAATGCCAGTAGAATATTTCACGACATTCTGGTTCATATATATTAGGATTATAAATGTACACGACATTGGTATCGAAGGTTTAAAAGTCCATACTTTTCCTAATATAGGGGAAACGCTTCAACAGTTCTTCAGATGGTGACTTCAATTTCAATTCTTTGAATAACTTCTTCAAGACTTTCTCATCTTCGATTTTTGCTTTAATTTTCGGTGTTGCGACCGTTTCAAATGTTTCACTGTTTAACGCTTCTGCCATAGCTTACGTTGATATTGTATTCTCAAATAGTTCTGTCTCCTTTAATTTGAACTGTGAATATTTAAAAAAAAAATTATTATATACATTAACCAATTAAAACGCAAATACCCAACATTAATTTGATAATGAAAACATTCCTATGAAAAAAAAAAAAAAACACCAGATAGATACCAATTGAAAGTAAGAGCTGTGCCTCGACGATATGTTTAATGAAGTCATTTTAACTGGTTTTAATGCTAAAAGGAGGAAGGCATTTGCCGTTTCACTTGCATGTGTTAAAACTGGTCTGATTACAGATTAATAAATAGTTTTCTTGGTTTTTCTTGTAATGTTTTTTTTTTACTTTTGAGTATTTTCTGACCACCGAAGTGTGCCATGTTCCCGGCTGATGTTCTATACTTTATTTCTGTTAGAAATTCGTTTCTTTCATTTAATGACGATCCTAGGTATTTGAATTGATTTACTTTTTCAAACGTGTGGTTTCTAATTTTCATGGCTTCATCTGTCTGTTTGTTCTTCGCTTCTCATAGCCATGTATTCTTACTTGGTTGTTTACTCTCAGCCCGGCTTGTAGTTGTGCGTTTTATATTCAATAAACCCTTTTGCTATGTCTTTACTACTCTTCCCTAACAGTGCTATGAAATCAGCACATTTAAGATACTGAAGCGAAGATTGTAAAGTATGCCTATTTGGTTGTGGGTCTTGGGTCTCCATTAGAAAATATCCTGCTATTGTTCCTCGGGTGTCACTCTATATGTTTATTTGAAACTCTCTAAAATGTTAGGTTAAATAGCATACAGGAACGTGAGTCTCCTTATCTTAGACTTCGTCTAATCAGAAATTCCCCTTCTTTGAATAGTTTTCTTATAGCTTATTAAAATATGGGACACCTTTTAGAGTTAAATGATAATATTTTAGGGACTGGCCGAGTGGTCTAAATTGAGCAAATATCAAGTCTTAGTTGATCGTCTGGAGTTCAAATCCCACCAAAGCCCTGTCAAGCAAAAACATCACCAGTACCCCGGGTAGATGTGACTCGTTAACCTTGGATGGCAACTTGGAAACCCGTCTAAAGTAGTGTTCCTTAAAAACATGTCTAAAGTAGTGTTCCTTAGAAACATGTCTAAACTAGGGTTCCTTAGAAACATGTGTAAACTAGTGTTTCATAGAAACATGTGTAAAAAAGGATTCTTATTCCTGGGAATACAGATGAACTGCGTCCTTAATTAATTACATTTAAAATATGAATAAACTGGATTAAATGATAAAATAGTTCATTTAAGGAACTGGTTCTATGTATAAAATGTTATCCAATGAAAAAAAGGTATGCCGACGGGTTGATTACTTACGTCACTTCTCCCTACTTAGCCCTAGTAATAGACAACTAGATTTTATGCTTACTAAGCAACACGCAACATGGTCAAATGTAGACGAAAAATCTGTACACTTTATTTGAGCTTTGCATTCTTCACCAGACGCAAATTTTGGTTTCGAATCCGACACCAAATATTTGCAAATGCTAACCGAGGTTTCCTTTCGGATTAAGAAAAAAATAATAATTAAATTGTTAAAACATGTATATCATTTGTTTATGTCTTACTAGTTTGATTTAGTAAGTTTTAAAAAAAAACAAAAAAAAAACAAATAATATAAAGTAAGCTAGTCCAGTTAAACACACTGCACACTGTTCCAATTTCTTATGCTGCACCTCTAGACTGGTGCTAAATGAGAGTAAATTAACGTAGCGTTCTAACCAAAAAAAAAAAAAAAAAAAAATGTACGGTTATCAGATGCTTTACGGTTACAGATTTACTGTTCATTTCAGTGGAAAGCTTTTAGCAATGGATTACACACAGGCACCAAGAGTAAAATAGAAGTTAACCAAAACTCCCAAATGACGAAGCATCCGACACGTATTCAATTATGGCAGGTAATAAAGGTAATTCCCATAACTATAAATAAACCCCCTAAAAAAATAATTTTTTTTAATAAATATATATATATATATATATATATACAGTTTCATTTTCATCACGAATCTGAAGCAGAGGAGAAAAAAAGGAAGAAAATATGAATCGGTTTGTGAATTCTATTTCTGATCAAAAAAACTAAAACTGGTTAGGATACTTTAATAAATACATGAACGTAAAATTGTAACAAGACTAACAACTTATTAGTTGGGATAAGACTGCCGCACTTTGTGGTATTTCAGTTCTTATTGTAAGACACCGTTTGTGCCAGTGACCTCGTTTACTTTTGTTTTTGTTCTTTCAGTCAACTCAGGTTCGGTAGCAATAGGCCTACATCAGTGGTTCTCAACCTTGTTGGAAGTACTGAACCCCACCAGTTTCATATGCGCATTCACCGAACCCTTCTTAAATATTATTTTTGTCTGATTTTTTTTTTTTTTGGACCTACGCCGAACCCCTGAGACTGACTGACCGAACCCCTGGGGTTCGATCGAACCCAGGTTAAGAACCACTGGCCTACATGGTTTCTTTATTTTCACAATCCCTACCTGAGTATTCTCGGGTCGTATAACACCAGTACCTACTTTTATGCTTACCATACGGGCCGGTTAGACCGGTATGGTCCCAATTGTTGGTATCAGAATTTGGTTTGGTATACAATGACATTGTTTGATGTGCGTACGCTAACATTATATTTATAAAGTATGTTCCAGTGCTAATAGTGTACATCTAAACTTTTATTTAAATTTGACATAGCTTTCCTTTGAAAATGAGGCTCCAGCCAAATATTCCCCCAACCTATAAAACCTCCCCCACCTCCTTTATGACTTTATGATAAGGGATAAGTACACTGAAACCTGGAAATAACGCAAACACATGGGGGGACTAGGGCCAAAGTGTGCGCTATTTGTAAAGACGGTGCCATTGACAGGTTCAGTCAGAGTGATGATAAAGCACAATAAATCGATCAGTGACAATAGCACTTCCTTGATATCAGGATGTGCGGATATTTTAATAT